AAGAAGAGGAATAGAACAGGCAGTTGGATGTAACATAGCCCCCAGGAGTTCACAAAGATGGCCACCAGAACATCTTGCTCTCCCTGCTGCTCTCTCCCATGCTTTCCTGCCTTCTGGGGTTCCTGGAGGCCAGCTGGCTTGCCTTCGGACACTTCTGCAGTACATACTGCCCAAAGGCCACATTCAAAACAACTTACGGACACAAGGGCCAAAATTAAGGGGGGGTGGGGGTGGCTCAAGTAAATTTTGCACAATCCTGGAATTTCATCATTCCTAGATAGCGCCTCTTGGGACTGGAACACGTGACAGCAAATGCCTCATTCCTACGTCAAAGTACGTCTGTTCAAGGCCAAGAGAGCAATATTTTATGCCCGATGCTATCAACTTTATTACAGTTCTGGATTTCTTTTTTACACCCACTATTGTTTAGGTGTCCTTCACTTTGAGTGATGGTGAAATGGAGCATAATTTAGAGGAAAAAGTGATCATCGGTTCTAGGAGAGACATTCACCTGTGTCTACATGGGTTTCTTTTGCAGCAAGCGGGCACCAAAGCAGCACAAACCTGCACTTATGTGTAACATTTCAGTAGGTGAACTAATTTCAAACCGTGTTTCAGGCAGGCTCCATGCAGCAGCAGCGTTTCAAACGTGCTGCTTAGGACAGAAGGCATCAAAGATGTTTCCTGCCCTTAAAAATATCTCAACCTGCTCAGCTCTCATAAGGCATTAAGCTACGATCAGTGAAAAGTGACAGAGATCCCATCACATTCCCGAGAAGATTCCTTGCTCTGATCTCTACCCAAAATTCAGCTCACGTCCAAGCCTCCACATTTCCTTTTTCATGCTGCAAAGATGCAGACAACTCCAGCTGCCCTTTCAACGAGAGGCCTGAAGTGCCACAATAAATGCCCCAGTCCCAGCCTGTGAGAGACAGGGCTCCATTCCTCAATCCACAGGGGATACGCTAGCTGCTGCTGCCAACGTCTTCATTTTTTACCCTCTAATATTTGGCTTGAGTCTTCGTCATGTCCCCCGAGTCTTGCTGGTGCTGTACGGAGTAGCTAGGGAAGGACCGTCAGCCTCCAACACTTCAAGAAAAACTCCTCTCCTTTTTTTCTGAGTTTAGAAAACGTTCCTACCAACACTCGTGTTGCATTAGAAAGTCTTGTCTCCAAGTGTGCAGGTGGGGAGGACGTGTAGCTCGTACGCTAAGGGTAAAAGAGCAGATGTCTGCTTGAAGTCAGGCTTACAGGACAGCACAGGAACCACGTCAGCTCCTTCCCAGGCTGAAGCAACGCCTGGTGATAATCCTCTAAGCGTTTTCCTTTCTAACCCGGGAACAAAAAGCCTTTTGTCAAAATTCAGCTTAAAGGTACCCAACATGCCCCTCAGCTGCTGGAAACGTTGAGGCACAGGCACTGCCCACGCCCCCACCAGACATTCACCTGCCCCTTCCTTCGGTCCACCCTCTCCCAAGCCGGTTCCAAACTTCTCCTTACCATGTCATTTCTCCTTCCCTTCCCCCCAAATCCCAGCCTCTAGAAACATACTGAAAAGTAAACCCTTGTGCTGGGTTTCTGTGGTGGGATTTGGGTAGTGGGACAGGGGCTACAGGGATAGCCCCTGCAAGGCGCTGCCAGTAGCTTCCCTAGCTGCAAGTTGGACCCACCTCTGGTGAGAGCTGAGCCAACCGGCACCTCTATGAAGAACATACATAAGAAGGGGACAAAGAAACCCAAACCAGCCAGGACTTGCAGTGAAGAGAGGGAAAGGACGGGCTCCCGGCCTGGCAGCTGCCCACTCTGGGCCAGCGCCACTGGATTGGAGATGGCCACAGTCGGGCGACTTGGAGCGCTCCTAAGTGCCCTGCTCCCGGGCTGTCCGCTGGGCAGAGTTCACTCCGGGCAGGACTGCCAGGGTTTGTTGGGCTCAGTGCTCCTGTAGCAGAGAGAGGATGAGAGAGGGGAGAAACAACTACACAGACCCTCAACTACCTCTCCCAAATCCCAACCTTTGGAAACATACCAAAATGAAAGCACTGGTTTATACACCTCCTACCTGAGAAGCACAAATGAAGATTTTGCTCCAAAACCCTTCAGACAAACGAACACAGCACATTGCGAACATGAAGAACTGTAGCACAGTCAGGGAAAGGAGGATTCTTCAGTTCTCCTGGAAGCTCAGTCCTCCATAGTCAGAAATAACAGTGAAGGCCATCACGAGCTTTCAGCAAAGAAAATAAAAAAAAAAAAAAAAGCACATGGCTAAGAGGCCAAGTATGGAGAGGGAAAAGGAGCCTATGGCAGCAGGAGGGAAAGATGCAAACCCCGTGGGTGTGCGACATCCCTCAAAGAACTCAAACCGACGGAAAAGATAACGACAGAGCAGCAGCTAAACAAAAGGTTTAGGAAAAATATTTTCATGTTTGTTGCGGTTAAAAATCAGATGGGAAGGAGGAATGAAGATACAGCAGGTGAAAAAGATGAAACATGTCAATGCATGGGGTTTTTAACGTACAAGATACTACATACAAAAGCACCATATCCTCACTGGCATTATCTCAGTACATGGTAGAGGAGGCAGGAGCAATTCTAGAGCATCTGTGATCAAATACAGGCAGGTGGATGGAGGGAAGAACAGCAGAACAGTGTGAGCGTGCAGTGGGAGAAGGAAGAGCAGTGCAGGAGGGCTGACACACAAGAAGGCGGCAGCACCCAAAGGTTTTTAAAATGGCTGAAGGCTCAAAAAGCAATTGCTCTTTCCTGGTGTATTCAGGGGCTTTGTTTCTAACTCCTTATTAACTAGCCCCAGATTTGTTATTTTTAATAAATAACATTTATTTCCATCTATTTTTACATCATCTCAGAAATAGCAATAGCAAGCAGCACTAAACTAATTATTTTTTAAAGAGGAGACGTAGCTTCCAACAGGTTTTACCTTCATGAGGCAGTATTTATTAGGTTTCCCTACTCTGTTTCAGCAATAGTGAAAGAATTACAACTTCTAACTCCTCACTTCATCAGTGTGGTTAAAAGGACAAACCTGGATCCATGTTAAAGTTTATTCACAGAATAGACTTTCTCCTTATCTCCCATCCATTGTCAGATACTCTAGAGCTGTATACTTGGAGCACACTGCTTGCCGTAGCGCTGCTCAGACTGCACAGGCTGTAGTCATCCGTTCTACTCCAGCCAGAACACTTGTGAAGAAAATATGAATAAAAGTGCACATTTTTGCCTTCTAAAATATATTCAAAACCTTAACATTTCCAAAGACTTTTTTGTATCTCAAAATTGCTCTCAAATCTGTTGAGTTGTGCAATATTTTAAGCAATATGATAAGCATCCCAAACAGTTTTAAAAACTATTCTCCGTGACTAAGGCCATTAAAGGTAATTCTTACTGTCTAGCTTTCTCAGTTACTTATCTTTTAAGCAAAACTTGTGCCAGAATCGACTTACCACCTAGTTAAAATTTTTTTTTTTCTAGGTAGAGAAGATCTAGTCAGAGATGATCTAGTCAGATAGCACCTCCCCCTCCTCTTCCCATTCTTTTACAACTTCACTGTGCCCTGTATGCACAAGGAACAAGTCTCAGGCACAGGATTTGCTGTCTTCACTCCTCTCCCATATGGTAAGAAATCCATACAACCCATGAATTCAGGGATAACAGCATCCACACAGCAGAAGATGGAGAAGGTCTTCCCTGAAGCTGAGCTGGACATGAGAACCATATAGACTCCCCTCCTCCCACTCACCTTTCCTTCCAACAGACATTAACTTTTCTTCTGTTTTCTTCTACTGCATATTTACCCTACACACTTTTCCCAGAGGAATTACCCTGGAAGCACATGCAGTTAAGTGTACAAAAATGGAATTTGAGAAGTGCAGTTAACTCAGCAGAGAATTTGCAGACTAGCTTTACTAATAGGGCACAATTTTTTTTCATTTATGCTACCTATGCAACAATTATAAGGTGGGAGGATTTTTTTCCTAACCATAGAAGTAAAAATTTCTGCTGGAAATACAAATTTACCAATAGAAGTGATTAAATCGCTCCCCTACGCTCACAACCTCAGCCCACATAAGATAAGAGCAGCACACACCACTGGTAGCAGAGGAAGCTGCAAGTGCCAAAGTGACAAGAAATCTGCTTTCATGTCCAGCTGTAACTTGCTCTCCACCAGAAGTACATCCAGAGTTGCAGGCCATCCATAACCTGCCATTTTCTTCTGCACAGGTCAGTCTGATCTCCCACGGAAAACTCTGAAGTATTTAGAAACACTTTTAGAAAAAGGCAAAAGCAGACATTCTTTATCAGGCAGGAAGCAAAAGGTTCTTTAAAACTGTTTAATTACTTGTTTCAGGTAACCACAGACAATACAGTAGGTTTCCCACCACTGAATATTTACATTCTTTTCTCTAGGCTTGAGCTGTTCATTGAGTGTCTCTTTCAAGCAACATCTTTGCTCAGTCACTTCTGCTGCAAAGGAGGGGGCAGGAAACATTATTCCATCAAGGCATGATTTTCTGTGGTTTTTTTTCTCCTTTAAGAACCACCTACTCGTAATTCAAGATATTTTGGGAGAATCCTGGCTTCCAAGATGACCTGAAGAATGCATTGAAACCAAGCAGTGTGTTGAAGTCCTAGTAATACTTAATACCAGTATGTATGTTGCAGAGCTGATATTCTCTTTCTCGCTGGCACTGCCATTGCTGCCTCGTTTCTGTTAGGACAGTTTTACACCAATTTTGTTTTGTTCCTTTTTCATTAGCCTTTGGGCCTCTTTCTCCATTTTCTTTCGTTGTTGTTCTGCTGCTCTTTTTTCCCTTTCTGCTATCTTCTGCTGCCTGTTAATAAAGAAAACAGGAATTGCTAAATAACAGGAATCCATTTTCAGCATAGTCGTACCTTAAGTTCCTGTCAATAAATATGTTACTTTAAATAATAAAAACAGACCTTCAGGCTACTGTAGTTAGGCTCAGAACAGTTCTTCTTTTACTGTGCTGGAGTCCTTTCTTCAGATTAATCTACTGTGTAGGCAGCAATATTTGTTCAATTATTTTAAAATCTAAAAGCCACTCAATTCTTAAAGATTCAGAGTAAGTGAATCAGTGAGAGTGTACAACAGAAGGCTTAGAGCTATTGGGGACTGGGAGGGGGGAGAATTTGTCTAGAACATTGACTTGTGTCCCCCCTTTCCCTCAGCAGGGACATCAGTAATTATCCTCTTTGTAATGGAAGCACTACAAACATTTTCCTCATGATCAGAGGAGAGGGCAACTTCTAATGTTCCTTTCACATGTTCAGGATCTCTACTGACCTCTACTGCTCAGTACAAATATAAACAATAGCCTTTAAGGAAATAAAAAAACATAATCACAAAGTCTTCAGTTGTGTATTGTTTCAGCATTATTTCTCCTCACAGCTACAAAACCTCAGACATTGCTATCTGCTAGCTCCAAGAATCTGCTACAGAAATAGGTTTCCAATTTCAACAAATACTTAGCTGACTACAGCAAAGGAAAACACCACCACAAAAATCCACTCATTGTATTCCCCTCCTTCAGCTAGAGCGCATCACTGAGTGGCGCAGGGGCACCAACTGGATCCATCCTCCAAGTGGCACATTGCAGCGCTCTCCTCTATTGCGTAAGTAGTAATGGAATGGCCTAAGGAGGTCACTCCTGCTTTGGATTCAGTTTATTAGATAGGAAAAAATTGGATAAGTTGCTTGCAAGAGGACTTTCAAAATAAAAATCAAGCTCCGTTAACTTGAAAAGGTGAAGTTGAACAGAGATTCAGTAAGAATAAAGACTTATTTATCAGACTTATTAAAAGAGAATAAAGAATTCTAATTGACAAGGCAGTAGAGAGTTAACTTTTAACATATCTCAATTACCTGTGCACATCCACTTAAGTGTGTAAAACAAACAACTAAAAAGTATCACCACCTGAAGCAACCTTCTCCAGTAGATTTCAACTACGGACAAGCTGAGCACACAAAACTTAGAAATATTTGAGGTACAAAGATGAGGTATTATCTTTGCATTCAACAGAAGAGGGACTGAACTTCCTTAATACCTTCATGGTTTCCCTTGATTGATTATCAATGGCTACAAGTTCTCCTATACTCTGTTGAACTGTTCTGCTGTCTGTCATGGAAGACTGAAATCACTCATTCACATCAGGATCTACCTCCCAAATTAATGGAAGCCCAAACCTCTTTTTGAGGTCATGACCTGCTATTCTACCTTCCCCCCAGAAGGCCAGAGAGTTGACAGTGCTGTCTGTCAGTCTAGCATATGCAGAGTATTATTATTTGCCCTTTTACAGGAGCAGAATTTCGTATATTCCCCACATCTCTGAACTAATGTGGAAGGGAAGAAGCTATATGTACACCAGCCACCATGTAGAGACAGCAGAGTTCCAAAAAGCCACGAGCTATTAAGAAACACTGCTGTTCATTTGCAATTCTGAAGTGAGACAAGACATAGCAGATCATGTTTCTTTCCTCCCCTATAACCTGCATGACACAAAACTCCTCTGCACAGAGTAGTGGTTTTCATGCCCTCCACTGGCTGAGTAATTTTATTGGACTTCAGAGATGCCCAAATGAGAAGAGACCTTCACATCACCTCAGACAGAGGAAGTGAAGTCACCAAAAAGTAGAAACAAGTAGCTCACCACAAAGTGATGACTTTCCCACTGCTCTTTTACTTGGTCATTATTCAGAATCATTGGTCTCTACTCCAAACTTCCTGCATGTTTTCAACGTGAAGTTACTACCTTTCAGGCTCAGAAAGGTTTCTTTTCTCAATAAAGGAAGAGGCTACGAAGACCTGCAGCCATAGTCTTCCCTGCTATTTAGCAGGCCACAGCCCATTTTTGCATGATTGACCAGCACTCTATTACCACACACAAATTATTCCAGTCTAAGGCACTTCTGAATAGTAACTGAGCACCAACAGGTCCCCAGACACAGCGAGCTAAGGCACGTCCCTCCTTTTTCTGCACACTCATTTCACTCTCAAGCACTGCTGGAGTACAGTCGGCATGAACGCTCCAGGGGGGAAGGGGGACTTTGTCTCAGGTTCA